ATAATATTCTCTCGAATGCATAAAATGATGTACCCACAGCTAATTTCAGAATTATCCACAGGGCAGTGGTAGTGACAACAATGTTCAGTTTCCTTTTCCTGGATTCCAGTCGATTTTAGGTATGAAAATACCATCTTTTTTTCAGTGTTTATCCTGTGAATGAACAGTTTACACTTGAGTTTCACCTCTGGTGTCACAGCTACAATCAAATCTTGATTCCTAGAAATATCCCTGCATTTAGAAATGATTCTGAATAACACCTTTAATGAGTTAAAACCCTTATATCTTAGGTTAACTTCTATTGCTCTAGCTTGATTGAGATTATTTTATGATTGTGCATTGTTTTTACTTCCCCAGAATCAGCTTAGACAACCATCGGTCCCAATGCCTCTGGTAGAGGGCAACTAAGGGAGAAGAAAAGAGGAGTCCAAAGAAGATCCATGGCTCATTCCTTATTCACCCCTGGGACATGAGCATGTATGCTTCTTCCTGAAAAGCTGACTTCTTTTGGAGTTCCCATTGCTTGTCTTTTCCTCCCAGAGTCTAATTTTGCTTCTCAATAACTCACACTCTTACCCCAATAATATTCATTGTATCTAAAACATCCTTCCTAAATTTATTACCTGAGAAGTTCAGTCCTGAGTAGATCTTCCATTGCAGCCGTAACTGAGAAAGCCATTTTTTTAAAAAATGATAGAGAGACAGAGATCATATCTGATTGTTTTCCTTGCTATTTCATTATTTGACAAATGAATACAAAAATGCAGGCATGTTCATTTTGCTTAAATGCCTCACTGTGAAAGAACTTGATCCCTGAGGCCAAGAAATGAGTTTGGTTTTAATATCAAGGTTTATCATTTCACAGACCTTTAATTCACCTGCAATTACATCTCCTGGTTCATTTCCCCACCAGCCACAGGAGTCTTTGAGGGATCCATGACCACCATGAGATCTTAATCTTACCTATGGGAAGAACCATTTCCATCACTACCCGGTAAGATATGTAGCAATTCTCTAACCCTGAGAGCACTCTGACCTTTCACCTCATGTCATTTGGTTTCTCTAGCATCTTTCCCTCTGCTTGATCCCAAGTGTCTCCATATGCCTGTATCTTCCACAGTGCAAATAAAGCCCTAACAATAAGCTTCATTTTACTATGTGAAAGACACTGTTATGAGAACCTTACAAGTATTCACTAACGTCATGTTCCTGGTCTTCTCAGGATCATGTGGTTACTGCTTGATTCTTGCAGCAATGTGTTTAGAAATGACCCTTCATAATATGAAACCACTTGTACTCACCTTCCTCCACCTGAGCAAAGCACCTGAAACTCTAAATACTTATTATAATAGCCTAATGGATATTGTCTCTCTCCTGCACCTCTAACAGGATTGCAGCATTGACTAACATAGTGACTATCCAGATAAGTCTTATAGTGATTATTGTATCTATTTAATCTTACCTTAACCAATATTTTCTACCTTTACTTCCCATGGGAACTTTCAGAATACCTTTTCGAAATAGAAGCACACATGTAAACAAGATATGCAATTATGACAGCAGCTCCTACTTTCTTCTTAGGAAGACCTTATCTTGAAAAAAACCCTCCATTCTGTAAAGTAAAGAGAGAATTTGTGTTCGGGATCTATATGGATTTACTTTTTAAATTTCTCACACTTCTCTAGGCGTTGCTGATGTGTAATGAGAAGCCAGTTTTTCTTATGGAGGTCCTGAGTCTCAGTCTCTGTGTATAATTTATCTGAAGCTTATGTTAAGGATGTAAGCGAGAGGCCCCTTAAAGTCTGCCTCTTACTGCCAGGCTTGGCTTGTCCTGTGCTCCCACTCTCTAATTGGAGTGATCTGCTTGTTATCTGCTGTCTGGGTTCTGGGTGATCTGTTTGCTCCCATGATGCAAAAATGATAGTCTTTAAATTTCCTTTTGGCAGGAAGCATGACTTCCTGATACGGCTCTAAAGAGGAAAATATCTGTCTTTGTCTTTCTCTGTCTCTCTGTCTCTGTCTGTCTCTCTGTCTCTGTCTCTCTGTCTCTCTGTCTCTCTGTCTCTGTCTGTCTCTCTGTCTCTCTCTCTCTCTCAGTAGAAACACAGATTTCAGGATAACTCCTTTTCAGTGTTCATACACAGCAGATAGGGAGGTAGAATAGGAATGGATATAGTACCTACTGTCGATGTTGCTAATGATTGTTGTGTCTGTGTAAATATAGACTACCTGAGAAAACTTCCCAAATGTGCTGCTCTCCACCGTCCAATAGCTAGGTCTTACAGACAGCCATTCCTATCTCTAGGAGTACAAATAAGCAACTTGACTGTTATAAAGTTGTTTGCTGGAAATAGTTAACAATAATTTTAATTTTACTCTGATTTTTGATAGCCATCAATTAAATATTTTTCTTCACTTAGCACTAATAATAGTTCTACCTATTTTTGGAGGTCTGAATTACTGGACATTTCATAAAGCAATATGAAATCAAAAAGACAGTTTATTATTCTATAATTATCTACTTGAGATACTTGCTCAAGACTACATAATAATCTGACATGGCCCAAAAGAAGTTTCTGCTACAATGGAAACATTCTGTAACCAGCTTGTAGAATTCAGAAGCCAAAAGTCACATGTTCCTATTGAACATCTGAAATGTCACTAATGTAGTTTAGAAGAACTGAATTGTAAATTTCATTTTATTTTAATTACATTTAAATTAAATACACGTGGCTAGTGGTCACAATCTGGACAGAGCAGTTCCATGCAGTTTGCAGTAGAGTTATCCAATAGAAGTAGCAAATCAAAATGGGCATTGTCTTTGTCTACAAAACTAATAAGTGAAAACTTCATAAATCATAATCGATAGTTTCAATAGTTTGCCATCTATGTTTGCTCTTTTTTTTTTGGATGTTTTGAGACAAGGTTTCCGTGTGTAGCTCTGGCTTTCCTGGAACTTATTCTATAGACCAGGCTAGCCTTGAAATCAGAGTGCTGGGAATAAAGGTGTGACCCACCACCATTTGGCTTATTTTTGTTCTTAAAATAGTATTTATGTGTGATTTAGCCATTTGCTAGACAGTAACTGCAAGTCATCAAACAACTATTGAATGCCTGATAGGCACCAAGAGAATATCGAGAACAAGACAGAAAAGGCTGTGAATAGTAACTGATAGCATCTGAAGCAAATTGATCACAGAACAAGAAACAAAACAAACAATTCTGTAAATGTTAATTAATGAACCGAATGAAAACATAAAGTACTCACAAGCCAAGACACTGAAATGAGTTTGCTGTCTTTCATGGACCACAAAATTAACACTGAAAATATAGCTAGTAGGGAAGGGTAAAAGGTGCATTTGCTTAGCAATGACCTCTGAGCTGTTCTTAAGAGCACTGGTGATCCTGGATCTTAGTAGATTCAGAAGTTTGAATATTCAACAAAAGGAATATCTTCCCAAAGACTCCAAAAGCTTAACTTTAGCTTGGTTTGGCTCTGGTTTAACTTTTTGCCATTTGTTTTCTTGTAAGTTTAGCATACTGCAAAACAAAATTGAAATGTCAATAAAAAAATATTGCCAAATACATAGGAACATTAAAAAGGCCACAGGGGAGAATTTGACAAGTAGTGATAAAGTTAAATTTAAAGTGACATAAGTGCATACAGTTGGCTGAGGTAAGTATAATTTCCTTGTCAATATAATAGCCCTTAAAAAGATGACAAAATCAGGAGGTTAGAAGCCATTACATGAAGGTTGAGTTACAATGTTCTTTCCAAACATTAGCAGAGTAAATTGAATTGGATGAAGCAAAGGAGTGCAGATGGGGTGGGGGTAGGAATGAAGGAAATGCAAAGTGTAACACAGAAGGAATAAAGAGGTTGGGAATATTAGATCGAAATAGCCAGACTCCGTTGGGAAATGGATTAGATAATGTAATATGGCCATAATCAGATTTGAGTTTTAAATTCAAAGTGAAAACATGAAACAGCATTGGTATGAGAATGTGTTCTTTTTGAATGTCTGCACCTTGATCTTAAATGATATGAGAAATGTGGGGGGTGTCAAAAACCCCCTGTAGATTCTAATTCTATCTACCCCACAGTTAGCAGCCAATCTTTTTCAAACATCTGACATGAAATGGATTCCCAAACACCTGTCTCGTTTATTTCACTGTGAAATATTATTTTCTACTTTCATGTTCTCTATCTTGAAACATTTGTCTTGTGCTTTAATCTAAACATTATTGGACTTTATATTTTTAAATATTCTAGTATACCCATTAATGTGCCTATAAAAATACTCAGAACAATAAATTAACACTGTTAGCTCTTGGCTTTTCTAGTGTCCTAACACTTTTCTTTTCCCCCATCTAGATTCTGTTCTCCAGTTCTCTCTTTTGTCTGCTACTTACTGATATGTAAGACGGTGTATTGTGAGTTTTGTTCTTGTTTTATCATTTTGCCTTACTCCTAGGACTGCATATGTAAAATAACAAAATGATGGGAGCAATGCCAAAATCTAGCTACTTACTCAAAAAATGCCTAAGGCTTTATTGGAACTTAGTTTACCTCTAGCCATTATCACAGTGGACCACTGTTCATCACACATTTATCTAAAATCCTACCCATAGCACTATGGGCAGATTGCTTGGTCAGTAATCTGGCTAAAGTAAAGCAGGTGTATTACCCACCAAGCTGACCAATGAGAAGACAAAACCTTCATTTTCATCTAAGAAAAAAAGGTATGTCCACCCAAGGTGAGCATGAAGTGACTTGTGGAGTAAGCAGAGTGACCCAGCAACTGAAGATGAGCTCCTCTGAACTTGAAGCCATATGCTTTCAGGCCTCTGCGTGGTCTTGTTGACCATGACCAAGACCATCTCTATGAATCTTGGGTGGCTGATGCTCCATGCCATTCTATTGCCTATGTAAAAATAGTTGCTTATACAGTACTGAAAAATATCATTTTATTATGCTTTTACAATATGTTATGTATTACCTATGGGTATAATTCACATTTTGAGTATCTTTGCCTTTTGTGTTCAGCTTATGTACCCGGGAATCTGTAAAACACAATTATATCAACTTTTTTAATGTATCTATCATTGTCAACTATCATTACCAACTACTTGAAAATATCAAAATTTTGATTGCTTTATTTTGGCCGTTTCTTAAAGTTCACTCAAATCTAATTTTCTGTCCATGTCAGTCATTAGAAAGTTCAGCATTACTGCTCAATAAGAAATTTCTTCCTCTAAAATGCCCATAAATCATGAGTTTATTCATTGGATGTAACAGGATAAAGATCAGTCATTATTTTAAACTATAAATATTTTGAAACAGAGACATAAAATTATTCATTTGAATACTTTCATATGTCACATAAGGAAGATATATTCTTACTCTCTATTTAAAAAGGAATTGATAATTAAAATATAATTTTTCAGGTCTACCAAGGGCTTATATTCCTGTATGTACCAAAGACCAAGAGGATATATCATGAGAATAGCATATATTTCACACATTATTATAAAAATCTATTTTTCTCAGGTATCAGCAGAGAACAGCAAATATAAACTTCACACAAATGTAAATTTAAAAATCTAGCAATCCTTTCACCAAAGGAAATATCTGCAGGATATTTTAAGTCATAAAGTGTGTGGATACACTCATTAACCCATTGGAATTAGCCATCTGGCACATGATACCCTTACTGGTCTGAAAGAAAAATAGGTCCTTCTCACAGAACATTTCTCCATTCAATATGCAGAACAGTCATTAACAGAATACTCACTGTTGGGTTAAAACACAAGGAAATAAGATCTGGGGCATAGCAGCAAGTCATCCTTAAAAACTTATTAGAGTCCCAGTGACATTGATAAAAGACCACACAACAACCTTTTGCCTAACCAGAGACTCAACAACAAAGAAAACAGCTGTATATGAAAAAGAGGTCCCATTCACAAGTGCCTGCAGCAGTTTACATTCCAGGTCCATCTGTCTATCTGTAGACCATTAATAACATTCTATAGGTTAACAACAGCTCATCCTACCCTCAGATGTAGCATTGGCAAATGATGCTCCATGGAATAAAGCTGGCATGTACCTGTGCTGACATCTAGTTCAAGTTCATCTGGAGCTGTAGTCCATGCAAGCTAGGGCCACAGCATGCAACCAATTCTTTCTCTGCTTAAGTAGATGGGATCCATAGTCAGACACCTAGAACAGAAATCTCATGAAAGGTAAAATTATTTACTCTAATAATTTCATACTTGGAAACACTGAAGTGTAACTTCCAACAGTATAAAATGTATAATTACATACAAACCACTAACTAAGAATCATGAAAATCAAACATTTGCTCTCTTACCAAACCATTTCTCCTTTTTTTAAATTTTTTTTGGGGGATGGTGGTTGAGACATGGTTTCTCTGTGTAGTTTTGGTGTCTGTCCTGGATCTCGCTCTGCAGACCAGGCTGTACCTGAACTCACAGGGATTCGCCTGGCTCTGCCTGCCAAGTGCTGGGATTTAAGGCGTGTGCCACTATTGCCTGCCTTTACCAAACCATTTCTTATTCTACATATTTGAAACAAACAAACAAAAATAATGTAAAAGAAAACTCCAAGAGGAAGCAGAGGGATTAGAGAAGTACTAGGCCTTTGGTGAGTACTGGCTGAGACACAGCTGCTTTACAGAAAGGAGGGCTGTTCTTAGTGCCTTAGGTTCCGTACACCACTGGCCAAGCATCCAGCTGAGAAAATGCTCTGCCTTTTATTCATTCACTCATCCATTTACTTTTCTGCCTTTGCTGTCCTCTCCCTGCAGATGCTGATGTTTCTCATCCTTAAAAGATCTATATCTTGTTCTCCCTTGGCTCTGGACTTTGCCATACTTTTATTTCAGCCTACACTGTAGAGAAGTTGGCTTTGATATGGATAAATTTATTATTAAAACATACTGTCTTCTTGTACCATGTTTGGGTTCATTGAAACCCTTCACATAACAAGGCATAGACAAATAAGTGCCTCTTGTTTTGATTATTATCTCTACAATTGTGCGCTCAGTACCATGCTTTTCTTGCTTCCCCAGAGTGACTGGGGTGTAGTATGTGCATTCTGCCCCTTTTGCTATATTTGTGTGTGTGTGTGTGTGTGTGTGTGTGTGTGTGTGTGTGTGTGTGTGTGTGTTAAATGTATGTGAGAGAAACAAGTTGCCACTTCTGATTAATTAATGTGGACCCAGGGTGGACATTTGATGAACATTCATTGGAAGTAGAAAACACAGAGTCAAAGCTTTAAGCTAGAAATTGAGAGGACCCAAAGATGAGTAAAAGACAATAGAAACGATTTAATTCAATAAAGAAGATCTATTCATGACAACAGTAGACCTCTTGCAGCCAAGACGAAATACTTCTGGCAGGCACAAAATATATTTATCTTTATGTGCTCTATGGTAGGAAGCAATAAGAAGAGCCAGTGCTGATAAGTGGTGGTTGAGGGAATGAATTAATAAATAAGGGTAGGTTCTCAGTCTTCTAAATTCCTGCCCCTGATGTATTCTGAGACATGCCTTGTATAGCTACTCAGAACAGAAGATACACCTGGTAAAATTGCCTGCCTCTGAGATCATGAAGTTCATGCCTATAAGATGTTTGGACAAGGAAGTAGCCAGCAACTCCAGGGCACCAAGCAGCCAAATGTTCCCAACTCTGCTTTCAAGTTTTGAAGTTTTGTTTTCAATACTCCTGTTTTCCTCAACATGTTACTAAGATACTGGTGTTATTGTAACTTATTTCCATCCAGTTCAGCACTAATATGCTTTTGCCATCAGGGTAGGATATCAAAGGGTATACCACTAAAGGATAGCATAGAGTATGCCACTAATAAGAAATAAGGGCCTTCTCAATGTCCCTCAGCACTGCTCACCTCATCCTTCCAGCTTTCCTGCTACCATGCTTCTGCCTCACTGAATGCTTTTCAGTAAAGCCAACTTGCACTGCAAAAAAAAAAGTATTGATTAATGCTTTTATTCATAGGTGTGGTGGTCTTGTTCCATTCAACAGCACTCAGAGAATGAAGGGCTTAGTCTAAGAATCACATCGAAATCAGGGAGAAAAGAATTCAATGTCAGATAGCTTTCTCATATGACTAGACTAAAATGCTCTACTAAAACATCTCACAGGAAATGTAGTTGGTTTTCTTTGTTTTGTTTTGTTTTTTTGTTTTTTATATAGTCCCAAATGCTGGTAATCAACGCCTCCTTGAAGGTGTCAACTGGAAAAACCACCAAGGAAACCAAGCCCGCTTTCGTCCCCATTGTTTCCCTAGGTCCTCACAAAGAGCCCAGGCTGCAATGAGTGCTCAGTGATCATTCACTGAGTGACAAGATCTCAGGGAAGCCACAAGCCTCATCTTTAAAACAACCAAACAATAGCAAAAACCAAAGACGGTGCAAGTATGTCTAAAGAACTGGAAAACAATCAGGAAGTCCCATAACTACCAACCGATTATGTTCTCATGCCACCCGCAGCTAAAACGGAGTGATCTGAGGTTTCTGTTCCTAATTATTCTTTTATCTGGCCTTCTCCAGACATCATACACTAAAACATCCCACTTTCTTTCTCAATTCCCTGTTTTCAAGTTCCCTTACTTTGCCTCCCAGGTAAACGTTTCCTGCCTGGCTCCATGTAAAGCTCTGATGCTCAGACCCTTCACTATTGCATTTGTTGATTGGTTGAATGTACCCATGAGGGCAAGCTATGGAAGAGAAGTGTCCCTTAACATCGCATCCCTTATAGTAGATGGAACAATTTCCCTCAGAAACAGAACATAGGTATGGTAGCATCTACACTTTCCTCTTCTGCAGGCCATTTATTTATAGAATGCCTTACCCAGGACGCTGTGCTGAGAGAAAAATGCAATGAAGTAGATAGTCCATGTAAGAGACTTTGGGCCTTATTGGAATGAGTGGTGTTGACAAGCATATTGTGATGTTCATAACTTGGAAAGTCACTTTGGATTTTTATTTTCCTTCATTTTTAGTTGTTGTATAATGATTGTACATATTTATAAGGACCATTTCTCTCCTGCTAGATGTTCTCAATTATCCCTCCTTAGATCTTTTCCTATATTTAGCAATAGGTTGCTGGTAGAGTGGAAGATCATCTTCCCACCTTACCATTATAATGCTTGACAACAGAGAAACTCAGATTTACTCAGAAGACAGACACTTACTTGGAACAAAAACAAAAAAATATATTAAATGATGAAGATCATGCGTTATAGAGCCCAGGGTACATCCTTAATACTCACTATTCTGCCAAAAAATACAACAACCCTATTCGCCAGTAAAGAAAAACAATGAATGAGGGTGTTATTGTCCTGTGATATGCACAGAATTTGAATCTAGGGTTTAAAAATATCACTGCACTCAAAAACTAGCCCATGCCCCAGCAGCAGCCTGATTCCAGGCCCTCAGATCACAGACATGGATCAGCATTGCCAGGGTCCTTTCCAAAACTTGGTATCTACTTTAATCACAAGTCTGAAAAGGGTTTTGGTACAGTTTTCTGTCTCTTTATCCTTTTCAGCAATTAAGATAATCTGGATATAAGGGCTGGCAGGGATAAATTCACCTGAGTCCATCATGTGACTGAGCTCATCAAGTAGATGTACAGAAAGAGCTAAGCCAAAGGTTTTATAGAAATCTCCTGTAGCTCCGCCAGGGCCAAGAACTTTCTCCTGGGGCAGGTTTTTAATTACTTCATCTATTTCTGAAAGTAGAGGGGAATCAAGTAATTCCCTCGTCTTCTGCAAATCACCTAGACAACTTGCAAGGAATGAGAACTGACTGTTTATCTGTTCATGACATTGAACTCCAATTTCTGTAACAGTCTTCGTCCTACTTCTGAAAACACTAAGGAGCCCTGGGCCTGCATTTGCCTTTCTCTCCTTTGTGCATCTCACGCTATTACAGTTGTGGGTTGATTGTCAGAGCTGAGTAACCAGAATGGCAGTCGCTAGGTCTCCGCCTCCCGTTGGTGCGGTGCTGTGCTGTCTCGCCAAGTAACACATACCCTTACTTAGTGGGTTGGAGTGAGCTTGGAGCTGCTGGGTTGCAGAAGTTTGCTCATCATTTCTGACAGAGGTGATCTTCTAGGTCCAGAGTCCAGCCTTCACTCCTGGACAGGCTTTTTCATTCAAACTTTGTCAAGTATCTAGTTATTGAGCAAGAGAAAGAAAATAAAAGAAATGTCAGTTTACAGACAACAATGTTCCCAAAATGATAGTAAAAAATAAATAAATAGAAGTAGCCTCTACACGCCCCTGGATGGCTATGGAGAAACCTCATAGTGAATTTTACAATCAAATCATTTTAAATTTGTTTTGTAGCCTTCAATCAGTTTATGACAATTCTGGAAACAAACCGAGGTAATCTATTTTACAATCTACTTATAATTCATCCAAAGACCTGGAAAGTCTCAAATCAATGTATATTAAGATTGTATGCATTGGGATAAATTCAGAGGGGTTTCTTGGGTGACTGTTGTAAATTAAGGAACTTTGGTGAAGTCTTTTAAATGGACATTTTCTAGATCATAACAGCATCTGAATGTAATCAATACAGAGTAACAGACGGCAGTGGCAACACTGTTTTTCAATATCCACCAGTCGTCACAATATTTGACATATTTGCTTCTCCAATATTAGCTCTATTTTTTCTAGTTGTTTAGGTAGGAACTTGATCAACCTGGCAGTGTTGTTGAAACTCTCCTCATCCTGGATTATTTCTGATTAACTCAAACTGAGTTTCTAATCTGTTATAATTCCTGTTGGTACAAGACACAACCATGATTTTTTTTTCCCTAGTAAGCAAGGATTGATAATAACATTTCTGGGCTCTGGGACCCTTTTAGATATAGGAAAGTGCTAATTATTTGTCCTCCTGCATGGAGACAGGAAATTGAAAGCCTAGAGTGTTTTCCTTCCTAAACTCAGAATTTTGCCCCCTGCAGAGACCTGGAAAATGAAGAGATTGTAGAATTTTTGTGACAATGCCAGCTTATAGTTCTGGCTACCAAGAAAAGTAGACTTTTACAGATACATCTTATTTCAAATATTTTTTCTTGTTGTTTGTGTTGGCTATTGTTGGTTGTCAAATGACTACATCTGGGATGAACTACAATTCAGAAGAGGGGGGCACACCAGTGAGAGATTTCTTTTGCTTTGTTTGAAGTGGATGAATCAATTTCTTGTCTGTACCTTTGAGGTAGGAAGAACATACCTTTAATCTGGATCTTAAAGCAGAAAGACACAAGTCTTTAATTCAGATCTTGAAGCAGGAAGACACACCTTTGATCTGACCCACAGCTTCTGCTGGAAGCCTATGTAAAGATATGGAAGAAGGAAGTCTTTGCTCTTTGCCTACTTGACCTTGCCTTGCTAGCAAGTCCATTCCTTCCTTGGCATTAAATCCTACCTTCTGGACTGCAGTGTCTACTGAAGAGCATCTAAGATATCCATCCTTGTGGACTAAGTAACTTCTGGATTCTTGGTCTTTCTGTTCACAGCCATCATATTGGACTATAACCTGTAAGTGATTTTAATAAATCCTTTCATATATATATATAAAGAGGTTCATTTTATAAGTCTGCTACTTTAGAGAATCCTGACTAATACATTGTCTGATCATATGCCCTTCATATGGATTCAAAAGATGTGGTGTAGAACCTACCACGGGAACATGTCACTGAAGCACAATTCCCAACAGTCCCTACGCTCTGAGCTTCACACAGACACAAGTGTGTAACCCTTGAAAGCCACGACCTTACTACCTTGCAGGAAAGAAGAAAGTTTAGGGGATCTACAACTCAGACCCTCCTTGCTTGCTGTAGAACAGTCTTGGAGCTAGCGCATCCAGACTCTGCATACTCCTTATAAGCTGAATCATGGAGCAGCTGCAGTTGATAAGAGAACCACCTCATCCAAGCCACGAATCTGTTTGAGATATATTTTTGTGCCTCTCACTTTCGAAGGAGTGCACTACTTACTGACATCAGTCATGCCACAGGATTTTGAGCCTGCGCCTCTTGGTCACTGCTTTCCCACTGTCCGTGGGTCCTTCTGGTGATCTTGACACTCTTGATCTTAAATTCAGGCAGTTTCCATTTCCTGACACTTGAAGGCTGCATACACAGCCTGTCCTAATATCTGCTTCATTCAAAAACATCAAAACAAAACAAAATCCAAACTCCAATAGCTCAAATCTCTACTTTGATAATAAAACAAATGTTTTGAAATTACTTAAAGGGAAAGGAAGTAGTTGTACAGAAGTTCTTCATATAGAACTCCCTAGATTTTTCTCAAAGATACCATCTCTTCCCCTCAGCACTTCATACTCCAACATCAGGTTAAAACCTCCCTTTATCTTGAACTAACACACCAGTCCCTCATTACCTTTAAATTACCTTTCTCTTCAGCCCATCACTTTCTGCTTCTCTCAGGTCATTTCTTCCCAATTCTGCAGTTGTCTCCACCCAACACCTTCCGCATCGGACCACTATGGGCTAATTGCTTCTCTGGCCCTCATTTTCTTTTTGATGGTTGAAGAAGAAAGCCATGTAGACTCTGGGAAATATCTTTCTTCTCTCATTCTTAACAGTCATTCTCTTCAAAAAATTCTACGGATGGTTATGACCCAACATCAACAGCATTTTATAGGAGGAAACAAAGAGAATTGATTTAACATTTAGGTCATTCTTGGACAAGTTATTTATCTTACAGTCTATATGCTTCAGTACTCCTAGGATCATTGTGAGAATTAAAGATGATAATGTGCTGGGTGTGGGGGCATACCCTTGTAATGCCAGCACTTGGCAGATAATGGCTCTTAAATGTCTAATATGTAACTATGCAAAAAAGTATATTTTTGCATGCTGTAAAGTCAAGTTTACAAAAGAGAAGACTGGGTTTTTCAGAGACTAAATCATGTCACAGAATTTTTAAAAATGGGCATCAGGAAGAACCCTTAGCCTATGAGCTGTTTGCTTGGGGCAGAAGGTCTTCAAAGGTGAAATTTTTCCAGGGAAATTTAATTTTGCCAATGATTGACTCACAGCAACTTCACTAAAATGTTTTAATCTTGGTTTAGATCAGCCACCATATGTTTGAGCACCATATTATTCTGTCCTTGCTTCTGCCCTATTACAAAAGCCCATGTGCTCATATACAATAGGAAAACTAAATTAGATGCTATTTTTCTTGTCACTGCTCTTCTTTCTCTGATAGCCTGAAAGTTATGATTGTCTGGATAATTTTTAAATAATTAAAATGAGCTTTCATTTCCATTGAAAAGAGATCAATCATTTCGTCTGAACTGATGCGGAATTGTAGGCCTCCTGGAGTTTCCTTTATACCTAGAACGAGGTCAAAATATAAAATCTCCTTGTTTGGCTTAACTGCCTTCACATGTATTTTGTCTCGCTGTGTGAGCCTCATATCACCTGTATTTGACTGGATGGAGCCTCACATTGCCCAGTGTGCTCTTGTCAGAATCCGGCCGGCAGTCATTTTAGAAGGAATCTTTGTTGCTAAATGCATTGGCTGGTTTCTTTTTAAACAACAAAGCAAGACAACTTTGACCAAGAGCAAGTATTTCAGAAGCAACTTAAAATTCATTGACCTCTTCTAAAGAATGGACGACTCCCATGAATACTCCAAGGTTTTTTTTTTGTTTTGTTTTTTTTTTTTTTTTTGGTTTTTCGAGACAGGGTTTCTCTGTGTAGCTTTGCGCCTCTCCTGGAACTCACTTGGTAGCCCAGGCTGGTCTCGAACTCACAGAGATCCGCCTGGCTCTGCCTCCCGCGTGCTGGGATTAAAGGCGTGTGCCACCACCGCCCAGCATACTCCAAGGTTTTAACCTAGAAAATGAAGGTCATCCTTAGGTGAACTTGAAAGTAGGTTTACAAAGCTTTGGTGCCTTCAGCCCCTTTCCATGGGAAGAATTACAGAGTCCCCAGCCTTCCTACTTTTCCACTTGAGAGCCAACCTCTTGAATTTTGAGCTGAAAGTGTTAGAGCAAGTGTTGTCTCTTGTTAGCGAATATTTTGTCGTAGTGCAGGAACAATCACCACAAGGTCACAGTCCTCTGAGGGATATTGGACTTCTCAACACCAACAAGTCTGTGTTCAATTCCAGCAGTAACTCAAGCCAAGAGCATGAAGATTTTGAAAGCATTTCTCTGTAGAACAAACATTCATAAGCGTTGTCAAGTTTGTTTCTCTGTGTAAGCATCTATAGATGGTGTGATTTCTTCATTCTCTCGTTCCTTTTTTTTCCAAGTGCAGATACTGAGGTCCTAGAGAGAAAACGTATTGAATGAGTAGTTACCTCAACAGGCTTTCTCCGTCTCCTAGCCATAGTTTCTCATTATCTCCTGACCAGACTCCCTTCCCACGTCCAGGCAGCAATGGGGAAAAGGCGTCAGAACTCAAAACTAGACAGTGAAGAAACTGACTCCCAGAAATGAAAGATGAAATCAAAGGAACTTCATCACCCTCAAACCTGAGGGTGGCAGAGCTCAAAATCTACGTGGTTCTGCGCAGGTCGGGAAACAAACCAGGCAGGGCAACGTGCTTTGAAGTTGTCTTTTGCCCAACAGGCACAATATTGGCTCAGCAGGTTCTGGACTGCCACGGAAGCCAAAGAAACTGACACTGAAACAGTGCTTAACTCTCCTGAAAAACTTTACAGACGGAGATGCTAGAATGAGACCAGGATACAGGTTTGCCTATGAGAGAGAGGCCTATGAGGAAAAGAACTACTCCTTCTCTTCTTCTATAGTCCCCAGTCACTGCACTTGATGGTAAAACAAATACCTTCCTTAGAATTTTAAAATTATACTTTGTAAAATGGTAGTTTAAAATCAAGGCAGAAGGTTTGTGTTAGTTAAGGTTTCTGTAGTTGTGACGTAACACCATGACCAGAAAAACCGAGTTGGAGAAGAAAGGGTTTATTTGGCTTACACTTCCACATCACTGCTCTTCATCATTAAAGGAAGTCAGGACAGGAACTCAAACAGACAGGAACATGGGGGCAAGAGCTGATGCAGAGGCCATGGAGGGGTGCTGCTTACTGACTTGCTCAGCCTGGCTTGCTCAGCCTACTTTCTGATAGAACCCAGGACCACCAGCTCAAGATGGCACCACCCACAATGGGACAGCCCCTCCCATCAATCACTAGTTAAGAAAATACCATAAGTCAGATCTTCTGGAGGCATTTTCTCAGTTGAAGCTACCTCCTTTCAGATAACTTTACCTTGTGTCAAGCTGACATAAAACTATTCAGCACAAGTATATTAAAGTATGAAGAACCACACAAAAACATACAAACTACCCAGCAGCCATTATTGTAAAAGATAAACACAATAAACACATATTGATTGATAACTTTCCAGGAGATTTTAATTTCTATAATAATATCACATGACTGAAATTGTTTTCTATAGAATTTCTTTTACTTTAGCACCTTTTTTTTTTTTTACCTATAGATACTGTGTTAAATTGGTTGGATGTATAGCTCAGTTTTCTCATGCCTTCCTGTACTCATTGTCTTTGGTTGAACCTTCATACACAGACTCTGCCCTTGGTCAGTAGAACCATAACACACTGAAAGCAAGCAGAGGAAAGCATGAAAAAGCGAATTTCTACTTTTTCTCACTTGAACCCCTGGTACACCACTGAAAATATGCCCTGGCTCACCCGTGGAAGGGTAATCAGCACATTTTCACCTCATCAAATAGGTACCAGTCCCCTGAGTCCGGGGATGAGTCTTACCAAGACCAAAACGACGGAAAAGCCTACAGACTCTAAATATTGTCTCTTCGTTGTTTGTCTCAGCACTTGCACTAGGAAAATGAAAACAGAAGCCAACCCATCCATAAACAGGAATTAACATCACAACCTTTAACACTAGTGTGTGATCCATGTTGGGGGTTAACCTCACATGTGTCACATTTGCTGGTAGCATCCTCCACCAGGGTTAACCTTCAGCTTGGATGTTAATGTATACTACTCAAACCTAACCGAAACCAATATCAAAATTAAGCAAAGCAACTCTGTTTCAAGTCACTGAAAGTCTCCATAATGGAAGAAGTTACAGATGCTGGCAGCAAGCTCTAGGGAACATAGACACTGCCTTTTGGAGGGTAAGATGCACAAAGCAATCCATCATCCAGTGTCTATTATCTGTCAGTCATACAGGAGCAGGCTTGCTAGGAGTTGGAAGAGGAAAATATTTAACTGGAAAATGCTGCTACAAACTCTCACTAGAACAAAAGGTATGATAATATGGGTGTGGAACTGACAAGTGACATTCAGTAACTTCAAGATCAAAAAACTGGAGTCAGTGCTGGAATCTAGGCTGTCCCTGGCTTCATGCTTCTACCCCTCCCCTCAAAGGTTGCAAAAAAACTAATTAGAAGCTTTTCTTGATGGTATAAAACTCTTCAGAAAACTGTCACCAAGGTGATACAAAAATTAATTCAGCATATCGTAGAATGCTCTGAGACTGAGAGCACCTCTCATTCCCTAAAGTAACAGTGAAAGATAGGAAATGATTTGCACCACCAGTTAGATGACTTCAGGCAGATTCGGTTCTTAGTGATTTTTTTTAAGGCAGAAATAAAAATGAAGTAAAACAACTTCTTTAAAGGACTGTTTTATAGCCCATCACTCATCACTGGGATTAACTTGTAATGAACTGTTTCATTTGCTCCTTGTATTAGTCAGGGTTCCCTAGAGTAACAAAACTTGTAGAAAGAATGAAAGTCTCTCTCTCTCTCTCTCTCCTCTCTCTCAGAGAGAGAGGGAGAGAGAGAGAGGGAGAGAGAGAGAGAGAGAGAGAGAGAGAGAGAGAGAGAGAGAGAGAGAGAGACATATGTGTGTATGTGTACGCAGAAAAGGAATTTGTTAGAATGACTTTCAGGCTGCAGTCCAGCTAATCCAACAATGACTGGCAATGAACGGAAAGTCCAAGAATCCAGTAGTTGCTCAGTCTGTGAGCTGGGCTGGATGTGTCAGCTGGTCTTCAGTATATACTGGAATCCCAAAGAAGTAGGCTCCAAGTCCAACAAAGGAATGAGTTTGGTAGCGGTAGCACAGCAAGAGCAAGCAGTCAAAGAGCAAAAGATTCCATTGTCCATGTCCTTAAATAGACTTCCAGCAGAAGGTTTGGCCTGGATTAGAGGTGGAATTAGAGATATGATCTGGATTAAAGGTCTTTTTCCTGCTCAAAAGATTTGTATTAAAGACACATACATCTTCCTACCTCAAAGATACTGATTACAAGTGGATCTTCTTACTTAAAATTAAGCAAAATTCCTCATGGGTGTGTCCTCCATTTTGGGGTTTTAGTTAATTCCAGATGTGGTCAAGTTGACAAGAATAGCCATCACCCTCCTCGTCACTGTTAACCACAGAAAATTGACACTAAGAAAGTCAGTCTATCTATTTCTTACCTGTATCTGTATTAGTGTATTTTCTCAATGCTGCAACCAAATACCTGACAAGAAGCAATTTAAGGGAAAATTGTGGAAATATTTTAAGCACCCAAGGAGAAGGAAAACTACTATGAAATAGTGTCTTCTAAACATAGCATCGACATTTGTGAACTCTCAGCAATATAGTTGCTCATAAAAGATCTGCACATGACTACATCAATTTATATGGCAACATGAAATGGAAGAAATTTAACAAGGTGCTGTTTAAACAACTACTGGCAATCAATGGCTGCTGATGGAGGAGAATCAGTTTTCACCTAAGACATGCTCCATGTTCAGTTTTCCATCCAATGTGACCAACCCTAAACATATGCAAATATGGGCCACATTAGTTGACACAGTAGGGTGTGTGTGTGTGTGTGTGTGTGTGTGTGTGTGTGTGTACAATGACAATTATAGAAGAAGAGGTGAGAGTGGGTACTTTGGAACATAGAGGAGCAGAAGTAAGAGAGGGAAGGATGGAAATGAGATAAATACAGTGTACTCATAGATGAAATTCTCTAACTTTTTTTATTTCAAAATGCTGATTCTGAATACTACAGATGTTGTAAATAATAAACTGTTATTTGCCCCCAAATTAAGAGTTGACCTGTTTTATAAATAGGTCACTCATAAAGTGCACCTGGTATACTGGTCAACATATAAGAAAGAGAGCATTTCATAACCTTTCTTTCTTGACAGTACATTTTCTTACTGAAGATCCCAACAGCAAATCAGATTAAGAAGAGTGATGCAGGACCAGATAGTAAATACCTTTAGACTCTTCAGTCCACAACTGCTGCATTGCACCCTCTGCTTCTCTCGTCAGAACACAAAAGGAGACATAAACAGTACAGAAATAAATAAGCATGACTGTGTTCCTGTGAAACTTTATTATATAGACAATATAATTTTGATTTCATATGATTCATATGCTATAAAACATTTCACAATTTTTAATCTTTCAAAAATTTGCAAAGCACACTTAATCACAGGCTGTAGAAAAGCAGGTGTCAGATTATGTGGTCCATGAACCAATACCTGAATAAGAAAAGAAAATCTGCTTTAAACCTATTAGCCTATTTTGTGTTCTTCCCATCCTAATAGATATGAAAGTGAAAAATGCCGGGTGGTGGCTCACACCTTTAATCCCAGCACTTGGAAGGCAGAGGCAGGTGGATGTCTGAGTTTGAGTCCAGCCTGTTCTACAGGGT